GCCGCCTTTCGCTCCCCGGCTGCCAGCGCGCCCGGGGCGTAGCAGGATGTACCGCCCGCTGCAGGTTTTTAAACCCCATTTAAAAAATCCCTCTGCCTATCTGTAAAACACTGAAAAAGGCGCTATGAAGCCATTCGGGTGGGAGAGTGGATACTCGTGAGTTTACAGCCGAGTTTGCTAACTCCTCACGTCATGAAGGGCTCTCCCTTCTTTTGCAAATAATACGTGCTTAACTCTTTGTTATTCAGAATAAAAACTTTATTTTTTTTTTTTCAGAACGTGAGCAGCGGAATGTATAACTTTCAAAACAAATCTAGTCTTTTCAGCTGTACAGACTCTCTGCCTAGCTGGATGTTACAAGCATAAATTATTCAAACTGCGATCTTTTTCCCAGATTTTATTGCATCGTCATCATCATCGTTATCATCACTTTTAATAAAGGAGTTATAGTTTCCTTTCAAATGATATTTCCTACACGTGCCGATATGCCATCTAACATATGGCCAGGTAAATACCTCCTGAATATTCAGGGTACAGATTTTTTATATATATATAAATATGAACAAATGGGGATAAATAAAATTTTAAACACTTAGATTATTCAATGTTTGCAAAAAAAAATATAAATAAATCTGAATGTTCACCAGCATACACACATTGAAAGACTTACACGTATTAATAATTGTCCAGGGAGTCCCTGTCCAAGCGCTTTTGATGTCTTTCTCGCTATTTAAAACAAGTGCAATAAAAAAAATTGCTTCCCCATGGGATCAATCATGTACGAACAAATTCACATTTAAGAATTCCTTTTATAGAAAATTTGTTCATATACCCTGTTTTGATAAAAGTGTAGAAGGAAAAGTATAAAGCCTATGTATACTCCCAAAGTGAGACACAAGGCTACAGTTCAAGAAGATAAATACTCACTAGTGAAACTATAGAGCGATTCAAGCAACAAATATTGCTACGTCACATAAACTAGAGAATGCTTTTACCAAAGGAAACTAAACAAACCAAAACAAATAAAAAAAAAACAAGAAAGAGAGGGGAGGGCACATAGTAGGGGAAGGACAGAGAGAGGGGAGGGCGCAAGTACTTTTATAAAGTTGGGGACTTCATGTTCCACTTAATGACTCCTGTGTCTTACAGATGGGTGAGTTTGGGCGCTTCCTGAATTCTTCCCTGAGAAGGATGGTGAGCGGTAAGGTCTGTGTATGTCGGGTGTGGATCACAAGGTCCATGGTGGTGACTGTTGCCCATTGGCCCAGCCCCGCTGTAGTCCATGTTGGCAGAGGGAGGATGAGGGAGATGAGTTAGACCAAAGATGGAAGGCCCAGAATTGGTCATGGTCTCCACGTAGTTGCCCCCTACATAGACGGGGCTTCCCTGTATGTGTGGATTCCCATAACCGTTGCCTTGAAGAGGATGAGTATCGTATTCAGGTGTCACAGCTGCGGTCCCCGTGTATCTCTTTTGAGGAGGTGGGCAATTATTAAGAGGAGCAGTGTATGATGCAGGGATGCCATAGGTATTTTGATGAGGCTTGTTAAATGATGGAGGTGACTGGGGCTCGTAGGGGACACTGTTTACTAAAGAATGCATAGAGTTTAGGTATCCCCCAGCAGCTGGAGGGACCGGGCTTCTGCTTGGGGACTGTCCTCCTGAAGAGGTCATCATGCCCTTGCCCTTTTGATCCTTTTTGTATTTCATTCTGCGGTTCTGAAACCAGATTTTGATCTGTCTTTCTGTGAGATTGAGCAAATTGGCCATCTCTACCCTTCGTGGCCTGCAAAGGTATCTATTGAAGTGGAACTCCTTTTCCAGTTCTACCAGCTGGGCACTTGTGTAAGCTGTACGGGCTCGCTTAGAAGAGGCTTGCCCTGGAGGGCTTTTATCACCAGCACAACTCTCACCTATGTAAATCACACAAAGAACACAATCAGCATGACGAACCTGAACACAGCAACCAGAGACAACACCAGCACATGGGGAGCCCAGCTCTGGGGCACAAGAAGTCCAGGTGTGCAAGGAGTACTCCCACCTGGAGCTCAGTCACGCCAAACTACAAGCCTCAAATGACTCACAGTGGACTTCCTTCACATCAACAGGGTCACTGTAAGACTATATTTGCTCCCTTTAGAAATGACAGTCAATGCTACAGTATACTGATTAGCTTTACAACAAAGAAAAAGAAAGTTCCAGGGAAAAAAAGCTGGGTTTAGAAACTCTGAAGGTGAAGCTATGACTCTGTTGACATCCCAGGATCACAGTCTTCAAGAACTAGCTGTTTCTCAGTACTGTAAAGATCTACAACCCTTTTTCTGAAAACTCCAATTAAAACAAAAAAAAATCAGCTACAGATGTCTGAAGGTTAGGTGGCTACTATAACATAGAGTTATGCACTCGTGCACAGAATTGACTATACTGTATTTCTACCATATCTAGCGTATAGCATAGACAAACATATGGTAGTGATTGGGGGCCAGAGTATATGTTATAAGAACATACAGTGGCTATGCTTGTATATAGGCATACGCACATATTTAAATGTTATTGCTTTTTAGTAAAATAAATACACAATATGGCAGGCTGTAAACAGTAATGTTACCACAGCCTTAAAAAACACACTGGAGAAGACATTTACTAAAGTTTGGGACTCTAGTTCCAAGAAACACTTAAGAGAAAAAGAGGAAGAGGTTAATATAAGCATTAGAGCTAGCACCAGTGTTATCGATTTGGGTTTTCTTGAGTAATAAAAGTGTTAATGCACACTTCCATCCCTCAAATAATATTTTATGGGCTCAAGTTTATGGCACTCCAGAATGATTTCTGTTTACCAGGCTTGTAACTTTGCCAATCAACTTGTTAAAGTAGGAAGAGCTTCTGACTGCCTGCAGGGCATTGATCCTGACTGCACATGATTATGAGCTATTTTATTCGTGTTACACTTCAGCAGAGATAGGTCACTGTCTTATTAATCTAACAGCACTATGCCAACAAAGTACTCAGGACAGGCCTCTGGCTTACGGCCTAGGCTGCTCTGCACTGACATGATTTACTGGAGGGGGGATTACCTACGAAATGTGATAGATGCAGGAGGGTGCAACTACTTTAGCCACTGGGAAATAAAATCACTTTGGATCCATCCTACAACGCTGGAAAGTTTTGCAGGGGGTTGTTTATTAGCTGATCTCTCTTTGCAAGCAGTGGGAACCCCTTCCCAAAGAGGGGAGAGGATCAAATCAAAGAGAAAAAAGATCCCCCTTCCCTCCCAAAAGTAAAGGCAGGCAGGGGTCCCCTCCTCCCCACAGGACACATGGCCAGCCCAGGGGGACCCAGGGAGAGGGGGAGCGTGTTTCGTACCTGAACTGGAACTGCTGTTTTTCTGCTTTGTGTTTTGCCGAGACTCTTTCATCCACGGGAATATCTGTTTGGACATGGTGGGCGAGTTAAGAGCTGGGCTCTTGGTGGGGTTGGCTGGGGCAGGGTTGCTGCTGGCATTTTGAGATGGTGAGGTGGAGGACGGAGGTGGAGGCTGTGCCTGCTGGGCTGGAGGCGGCTGTGGTGGGGCCTGCGGGTCTGCGAGGCTGGGGGGCTGGAGAGGCTGGCTGGGGAGGGTCCTCATGCAACTCTCATTGATGTCATTGGCCTTGTGGTGGGACACAGAGCTGCCAGGGGACTGGAGGGAGCACGCGGGGCGGTGGTACTCAGTTTCCACAAGTGGTGAAGACGAAGGATATTGCTGCTGACTCGCATTATAAGTGAAACCATTTGCTCCTTGGTAGGGGTAGGCACCATAGATTGCAGAGCTGTCGTAGTAGGTCGCTTTTTGCATTTCGTTGTTTCCCAATATTTATTTCGCAAACTGACAGGGTCTTGACACCCTTGGAGAATAACATTGGCACCCCTCTGTCACGTGGCGCTCTTCCTCCAATGGCCTCTCCGGGCAGACCTGGGGTGTGGGGAGAGCAGAGCAGGGTGAAGAAATGGTACAAATCCATCTTACTTTCAATAGCTAAGTGACATGAAAGCCATAAAAGAAAAAGTGGTCAGCAATATTTAGCAGCATGACTTGGCCTCAGGCGTGGAGCATTTTGATATAAAAGCTGCCTGGATTTACTGGCAGCTACAAACATGCACTTTGCTGCACCAGGATAGGGGCTTTCGAGGGTTTTTTCTTTCTTTCTTCTGAAGAAACAGAGCAGGGCACCACACGGCAAGGGGTTTGATCGTTTATCACCGAGAGGCTGTTTTAATACCAGTCTCTGAGATAAGGGTGATCGAGGAATCTGCAATGTGGAGGGGCTGGGCTAGCTCTTCATTCCCACTCTAGGATCAAACCCTCGCCTGTAACCAGTGTCGTTTTATTTTTAGCCTTTCTCTCCAGGTTGCAGCTCTCCCTACAACTTCAAAGAAACACATGAGATTGTTCCTCTCTCTGTGTGGCAGGGGGCAGGAGCGGGGTGGAAAGGTTTCACAGCCAAAGATATTTACACGCGCCGATCCGAAGTGACAGATTTTGGCTTGCCCGCGAAACGCTCGGTGCGAAAACAAACAAAGGGAGCGCCTTCTCCCCTCCGCGCTCGCCCACTACCTGGAGGCGCGCACGTCAAGCGCTCC